TCCGCTTCAGCAGCCCGGGGTTCTCAGGTTTGGATCCTGGGTGCAGACATAGCACCGCTCGTCAAGCCAAGCTGTGGCGAGATCCCACATAAAAAGAGGGAGATTGGCACAGAATGTTAGCTCAGAGACAATCTTCCTCAAGCCAAAAGAAGAAGATTGACAACAGATGTTAGCTCGGGGCCAGTCTTCCTCACAAAAAACAAAAAGACAAAGAAACAAAAGACGTTTAAGCAGGTAATCTTAACTTGTTCCATCTGCTAGAGACATAATTATTTATAAATTAGTGAGTTTTGTATTGTACCTGATTCATGGCTGAAATTTGTTTTTTTAAGATTTTATCTTTTTTTCCTTTTTCTCCCCAAAGCCCCCCGGTACATAGTTGTATATTCTTTGTTGTGGATCCTTCTAGTTGTGGCATGTGGGACGCCGCCTCAGCATGGTTTGATGAGCAGTGCCATGTCCGCGCCCAGCTCAGGATTCGAACCAACGAAACCCTGGGCCGCCTGCAGCGGGGCGCGTGAACTTAACCACTCGGCCACATGGCCAGCCCCATTATGGCTGAAATTTTTAAAATAAAAGCTATAAGATCTCTCTTTGTGTCTGTCTATGTTATATGTATGTACATTTTAGATATGGTATTTTTCTACCTCTGGATGATATTAGCAAAACTCATTTCTAAAGAGCTCTATTTAATTAACTTAAAATAAATGCTTATATAAGTTACTTCTAAATATAATAGAAACCAACCCGAATGATTTTTCAAGTTAATGTGATATAAAATAATCTTTGGTAAATAAAAGCTTGCTTAAGTTTGTTGGTTTAATTAAAATAGGCACGCCTCCAGAAGTGTCAGCACTGGATATGAGGCGAACATGCAGCTTTTATTCTACCTGGGTTATTTGGCAAATAAGCTCATGTTATCTCTGTTATAAAATTTGTCAACAAAAGAAAATGATAATAACTTATGATGATGGCTAGCTGCTTTAATGGCTCATCAACTTTTAATGACTAATCTAAGTACGATTGTTAAGAACAAATGAATTATATGGATGTTAATAAAATAAAGATTTTTAGGTGTAATAATTATGTTTTATCATATGTAAACTTAAAAATAACTTCCCCAAGTCTTCTTGATGGCTTAAAACTTTAGAGTTTTACTAGGTAAGGTTAAATGATAAAAAGCTTATGGAGGGGCCAGCCCGGTTGCATAGTGGTTAAGTTCAGCATGCTCCACTTTGGTGGCCCAGGTTCTTGGGTTCGGATCCCAGGTGCAGACCTACACTACTCATCAAGCCATGCTGTAGAGGCATCCCACATACAAAATAGAGGAAGACGGGCACAGATGTTAGCTCAGGGCCAATCTTCCTCACCAAAAAAAAAAAATTATTGAGTATCTAGATCATCTCCAGATAAGATAAAATAAAAAAACATTAATTACTGTACAAGGTTTATCTACTTTTGCCTTCTTATTAGAAAAGTCTAAAAGGTAAATTTGGGTCTGTTAGTAAACATGTTTGTGCTTTATTGAATGATTGCACTATGAAAACAATATGTTTCCAGAAATTATGAAATGTCTTCTTAAATTTCCCACTCTGAAGAATACAGATATGACATACAGTTCACAACTGCTTACTTCTTAGTTTTCACTAGAAATTAAAGTTTCTAAGGGTTAATAATTCTAATTAATATATGTAATGAAAGCTACTATAAATAATAAAGAAAAACCTCTGTACACAAAGAAACTAAGTTGTATGTTTCCGGTAAAAAAAAAGGTGTGAGGAATGGAGATGCATTTTTGTTGAGAAAAGAATAATTTTGTCCCAGAATAAAGCTGGTTATTTCTGAATAATAATAATGATAAAAGAACAAGGGATAAACTAAAATGCACATAAAAATGTTATAGAAGCTTTATTAAAAAAAAAGTTGGAAAGGGATTTTATGTGTGGCCAGGGCTGGCTAAGATTGGAATGAATTTAATTGAGTAAATAAGTTTTAATATCAAAAGTAAACTAGTCTAAAATTAAAATTAGATTTTCTGTCCCTGTTAGAAAGAGAGAGGGGCTGGCCGTGTGGCCGAGTGGTTAAGTTCACGCGCCCCGCTGCAGGCGGCCCAGGGTTTCGTTGGTTCGAATCCTGAGCTGGGCGCGGACATGGCACTGCTCATCAAACCATGCTGAGGCGGCGTCCCACATGCCACAACTAGAAGGATCCACAACAAAGAATATACAACTATGTACCGGGGGGCTTTGGGGAGAAAAAGGAAAAAAAGATAAAATCTTAAAAAAACAAATTTCAGCCATGAATCAGGTACAATACAAAACTCACTAATTTATAAATAATTATGTCTCTAGCAGATGGAACAAGTTAAGATTACCTGCTTAAACGTCTTTTGTTTCTTTGTCTTTTTGTTTTTTGTGAGGAAGACTGGCCCCGAGCTAACATCTGTTGTCAATCTTCTTCTTTTGGCTTGAGGAAGATTGTCTCTGAGCTAACATTCTGTGCCAATCTCCCTCTTTTTATGTGGGATCTCGCCACAGCTTGGCTTGACGAGCGGTGCTATGTCTGCACCCAGGATCCAAACCTGAGAACCCCGGGCTGCTGAAGCGGAGCACGCGAACTTAACCACTTTGCCACTGGGCCGGCCCCAAGTTTTTTATCTTTAAATATTTGTGGGGAAGACTTTTAAGATTTATATTTGCCTTAGACAAGGAGGGTGTGAGTTAGATTTGCAGCAAAAGAGCCTCTCTGGTAGCCTGCATTTAAAACAAAACATTTTCCCTCGGTTTTTTTCCTTAAACCTTAGGCTTCATTGATTGAGCTAGCCAGGTTTAGTCTCAGGCAACCGTGGGCTGTTATCTTTTGGGGTGTTTACATTTTAAAGACGTGGTAAAATTTACAACTTTAATGGACAGAGAGAAAAAAAGGCGAGTTTCCCTTTTTTTCAAAGGAGTTTCAGGGTAATTGCCATTTAAAATTTTCCTTCAGTCTTAGGAACTGGGGAAGGTCTAAAGAGTTCTGGGAGAGGTTATAAGCCTTTTGAGGCAAATAGGGAAGGTTTTGGGATTGGTGAAAGGGAATGGGTTGAATCTGACCTGCCTGTAGAGATGCACTTTCAGCTTTGCAAGGACTTGTAAGGTAAGGACAGTGGGCTCTCAATTCCTCAGAAACTGGGCTGTAACTTAAATGACATCATAGGTTGATCTACCGGTCCGGTTACATTATTCCTAGTTTGCTTCTTTCCTCTGGGTACATAGTTTTATTCTAATTGAGCAAAGAAGGCCTATAAGAAATTCCTATCAGGCTCTGAACATCAGGGTTTAGTTTGGCCAATTTTTGACCACACAGCTGCTAAAAAAATCCTTTTAAATATCTTGTTGGGTTTTTAAGTGAGACAAACAGTAAATGTTTCTGCCAGTATTAAACAACTCTACGGACCCAAGAGGCGTCCTCAGAGGTTACTACCTTCCCAAGATCCAGAGTCATTCCCAAAGAGAGCCAAAAGAAAGAACTGACAGCCTGCATGCACGTCCCAGCCCTAACTCTGGGAGCCCACCTGCATCGTGGTCTCCTGCAATGAGACCCAACTGTTCAACTGAACCGATCTATTTTGAAGACTAAAAGTTTAATTCCGTGAAATAATGGAACAATCTACCAACTCGATTTTTAATATGGGAAACTTCCAGGGAAGTTTCAGAGGAGGGAACTGTTGGGGCCCAGGGCAGGCCACCTCACCCCGAAATATCCCACAATAGCATATTGGTTATTTTGAATTCAAGTTACTTGAGAAGCAACAAGGGCATTCTGACCCTCCTGTCTCTGTTCCCCCCTGAAAGCAGGAAATCCATCTCCCCTGTGAAGGGTGCTCTCCCTGCATCCTGATCCCGGGAGCCTGCAGAGACAAACCTTGCTAATTTACTCCCTCAAGCCTCAACTCTGCTTCAATGCGTCACGAATTACGTACCTCAAATCTGAGTTTCTTTGTCGTGTCATTCCTCACAAATTTATTGTTTCTTTGTGTAAAAGATATATATGCTGCCTGCCACGTGCACTCTCTGAGCACCATTTCTCTATGATCTCCAAAACGTGCTATTAAACTGGGTTTTTCTCCTGTTAATCTGGTCTTGTGTCAATTTTATTGTTAGTCCAGCCATAGAACACAAGGGTCGAAAGGTGATTTTCCCCGACCCTGGCACGTTTCGCTGTAGAATTAGCTGGAACCAGGGTTCTCTCAAGGATGGTGGAGGGGACAAAACACACTTGAAGGCGTGATCTCAGCTCTGAGCTGAGGAGGAAGCTATAATGTGCTCTCTACTTGTGGGGGGTGGAGGAGGGCAAGGGGGCGGGAGAAGAGCCTTGCTCTGGCCTTGAGGGAGTCTCCCCCTGCGTCGCCTTGGAAGAAGCAGGACCCTCCTGCTAGAATGGTTTCTTTCTGTTTTTTTCAAGTTTTCTTTTTTTCGGCTGTACATCATATTGCGAGTTCTGTGTACATTACATCATGTTCACCACCCGAACACTAATTATAGTTTTCTATCCCCGTGTCCCCTCCACAAAAGGGAAGGTGGCGAACAGAACTTGGAGAGCACCAGGTGAAGGCCTGGCTCCCACTTCTCCCTAAAGCCCCGGGAGGAGCCTCTTAGGAAGCTTCCCGTAGAGTCCTCCGTTGTGCCTGAGCTCCTCAGCGAGAATGGGGCTCAGGCCTGCCTTGAAACGCACTGTTCTCTCATCAGGGACTCATGCCACTCCATCTGACACATCTGTATGGTCCCAACGGGGCAGGGTCGGGGGACGATGGGGTGTTGGGGGAGAGGGTGGCAGAGAAGAGGTGGGTCTGTGTGAGCCTGCCACGGGCACTTGGGAAACTTCTGAGATGTGCGTGGCCTGCCGATGGTGACTCAGAGATACTCCTGCATGACAGGAAGCCTCCTTGGCCGTCGGTCTGAACGGCATCTTCTTCGCAATTTCCATCAAACTCACTAACCCCATGTAACACACAAGACAAATTTGCAGAGAATTCACAACTTTATTGAAAATACAAACACGTGCCCTACAAGAGAGGGTCAATGACTGTGTACTTTTATTTAACACATTTAGCAGGCATTTGGTGAACTGCTCTTGATGGTGAGGGATGCAGAATTTGAACTTGGCTCAAAAGAACTTTGAAAAAACTGTCACAGAGACCATTCTTTAGAAAATGTGGGCTACAAAAGGCCCCCTGATGGTAAGGGAGCAGGCCATGCCACACGACAGCAGCCACAGGGAAGGAAAGGTGGAAGAAGCCAGGGCGGAGGCGGCAAGAACACAGGAGGAAAGGGAGACCCGGGCGGCAGAGGCAGCCCGGGCGGCAGAGGCAGCCCCGGCGGCAGCGGCTGCAAAAGCATCCGCATGCAATCCGGAGTCCGAATCAGGATGGTACTTCAGGGTCTGCCCGAGCCAATGACGACGGGGGGGCCCAGGACCACGGGGGGCATGACTCTGAACATCAACGCCCTCTGCCATCTCCTCCACTTGGCCCTCCTATTCTTAAACCAAACCTTCAAACAGAGGGAAAAAGGGATTGGTTTAGTACGTTGAGCGTTTAATGTCATGAAAAAACACAGCAGGCAACTCTCTATGCCCTTAAGATTTTAAACTGCGTCAGGAGAAGCTGTTTCCTTCTTGCGAAAATATCTTAGGAAAGTTGCCACCATGGCCCCCCGCCCCAGCTCGCCGTCGGTGAGCACTGGCCGCGTGCCAGGCTCCGGCTTGGCAGATTGCTGTGTCTCTCCTCCCACCTTTAATGTTATTTTCCCCACTCTCGGACGCAGGTGTGGCTGAGGAATTGCACTGTGTCCCTGCTGTGATTGCTCTGCTTGGTACGTCTGTGTCCTGACAGCTGCCCCTCAGCTGTCCAGCTGCCACTAACCCCGCCTCACTAGGCAAGTGTCACAGTGGCCTTGGGGAAGCACAGTATGGTAGGAAGTGGGTGTCTCTTAAAGTCATCCTGAGGGGAACAGCCTCCATGTTGAAAAGCCCATCTTCAGTGTACAGGAAATAATCAAAGGGGGTGTGTGGGATTTTTAAACCAAAGCTTTCCTTCAGGGATGACTAAAGGGCCATTCATCCTCTGCCACCTCTTGGTAGTTAAAAAGATGGCATTGCGAGCGAGGCTCGGTCAGAGGGGGCCCAGGGAGTTTGTGGCCGGGCTTGCTGGGACACGAGGATAGCTGAAGCCATGGACACTGCTTTAACTTTTTAGACTTTAGGGGAAATGAATGCTTAGACTCACTAAATTCGGGCCGACTTTACTAAAGTCCCAAATTTACCGAGTTGACTAACTCTCTTAAAATCCTTGCCCAGGCAAGAGTTTGGAGGGAAAGAGGCATACCGCTGTCACCGTTGTCAATTCTGCGAGCTCCGACCTGGCCCACCCTCCAAACCTTCCTGGGCTCGGGACCAGGTCAGCCCACTGCTCCAGGACCCTGGGAGGGGGCCGCTGATGCCCGGCATGCCACTCAACCTAGGCCGCGCCGCTCACCCAGGAGGTCCCCTTCTCCTCCCTTATGCTTAAGGCAAGAAGATGGAACCAGCGGTTGGGGAAGAGAGTCGACAACCGTGTGGGTGAGGGGGTCACAAAATATCCAAACAACTAAAAATAAAACTGCCCTTTAGACTACATTGTCCCCTCAGCATCCTAGTCAGCTCAATCACGTCGTGTTTACTATTTTGGGACAGTCCCAGTCTGCATCCTCCTCTCTCTGCCTGTTGCCTTATTTTCACTCTCCCACCGTAGTGTTTGGGTCCTTCTGTGTGAATATGTAGTCTAAAAAGCCACTGTGATAGGGCTCACTTTGAGGGATCCAAGCATACCAGCGGTCAAACCTGCATAAACACAACCAAAATGCAAATCGGGCTCACTGAGGTAAAGGCTGCTACTAGCTGCATATTTAAAATACCGGTTTCCTAGAACGACTCTTACTGTTAATTGCAGACTAAGGGGGAACCTCCCTTAGCATTTTCTTCAGACAAATGCTGCATGATCTCACTTTTATGTGGGATCTAACAACAAAAAACCAAACTTGCAGAAAAAGACCAGATTTCTGCTTACCAGAGGCAGGGGCTGGGGGGGTGGGAATTGGACGAAAGTGGTCAAAAGGTACAAACCTCCAGTGAGCAGATAAATGAGTACTGGGGCTGTGATGCACGACGTGACGAGCACTGTTAGTTACCACCGCTCTACCACGGTTACCACTGCTCTACGGTATCTCTGAAAGTTGCTGAGAGTAAATCCTAAGAGTTCTCACCACAAGGAGAAAAACAATTTTTTCTTTTTTGGTTTGTAACTATGTGAGCGATGATGGAGGTTAATCAAACTGACTGTGGGGATCACTTCACAATATGGGGGAGTCAAAGTACCGTGCTGGACGCCTCAAACCTAGACGGTGCTGCTTACCCGTCAGGGCTCAGTGAAACCAGGGGAAAACGTCTTTGGGAAATTCATGCTGTAGAGTTTGGAAACAGGTGAGAACATCCTCTCTCTTTCCTTAGTTGTTTCTTGTGGCTCCTCGTCCCTGCAGAACCCCACTGAGGGAGCACTGCGCAAACCCATGCAGGGAGGAAGTCCACGCACGAAAACTGAAGTTTTTCTTTTCCTCTGAGCTTGCTCTGCCTGCTTGCGAAAGCAGAGGCCTGGTCCTCCCGGCCCCGGCCAGACCCGACTGTGAGCCCAGCCCTCGGCCTCAGGACGCCAGCGCTCAGCGGCCTGCTTTGTTGGGCTGCTTCTCAGACACCCCGTCACTAGGTCTGCGGCCCGTTTCCGTCACTGCCCTCACACACGGTCTCTGCAGCAAAGCTAATAAACCCAGCCTGATTTTTCTTTTCCTCTCTTTCTGTCTTTTCTCCTTCTTCTTTTTTTCACTTCCAAATTATCCTTTGACACAACTTAGACTTTCCTACGATCTCAAAACATCACCTCTTGATCCATTGACCCATAAATTAGTCATCACTGACTGAGCAAAGAAAAAGCATTTCAAATTCCCACAGGTGAGCATCCAGCCTGAACTAAGAGCCATCCCCCGCCTCCCCCCCCCCCCCACCAAGTTCCACACAACCCACCGCTTCACGACAGCGCCACCGGAAGGAAGGACACACCTCTTAGGTGTTAGACATTCCTCCAGAGAATATTCACCAATGCACTTGGAGTCTCAAAAATTTGAATGTGTGTGACGTCCCCAAGGCATACGTTCGACTCTCTAATTCGCGCCTGGCGCTTGCACCTTGCTTCCACCTTTCTTAGGTCGGTGGAACTTTGAAATTGTTGTACTTTCCTTTGTTTCATCTTTTGGACATAGTTACAAGGTTGCAACACCCCCTCCCGTCCCCGCCACCATGCACAACCTACTATGTTAGCAGTGTTTGCAGGCTCACATATCAAAGAATTGCAGAAGATTAAAATTTAGGGCCGCCATTCTCTACACCACTCTGCCAAACACTTCAAAACAACGGCAGGAGGACCAGGCGCTTGGACTCATGCTATACCCTCCCCACCGGTCTCGGCCGAACCAAACACACATCAGCTGCTCCTCTGCTGTGTTCTATGTGTGAATTACGCCCCCTCTTCAATGCCTAGATACTTATAAATTCACTCCTTACATAAAGAGCTTATGCTTGGTTTTAAGTAATTTAGTATAATGGAACTTCTTGGTGCATTCATCTGAGCAATTTCCACTTCAGACTTAACCCCAATGTGACTCCACACACAAGTGTTACCTAAAGGATACCCGTGTCAAAAGGAGTTGAGCTATACATACACATCTACCTTTGTATATAAGGAACAGTGTACTAATGATCATTTTTTTTTCTCCTTTAGGAAATCACGTTCCTTCTGGTGACGGGCAGTTTTCCAAAAGCTGCTGTTTACTTACCCCGTTTTCCACCCACCAGGACCCCAAAGTTCAAAACTCATTTCCCAAACACGGAAGAGGCAACAAAAACACACAAACGTGAGACCGTGTAGGACAGAAGCAGGTTTTAGAAGGGCTGCCCTGCCGAGCTGCTTTGTTCAGGTTTACTCACCTGCACCCTGGCTTCAGTCACACCCATGCGTCTAGCAAGCTCCTGTCTGAGGGGGAAAAATCGCAAGTGTTCAGTATTTGGAGCTGTGCGTTAAATTAAATCTAGCGTGATAGTGCATTCTTATTTGAAACTTTTTCTTTCAGGGAAATGTCAGCCATTTGCTTTACGAACCCACTTCTGCAGTAGGAAAACTCACACCACTTCAGGACTGACAGTGAACTGACGTTGACAAAGCACTGAAGGAGAGCCAAGTATCACGGGTGAAGGAGGCACGGTTCCCAAGGACACATGAAGTTCTAGTTCACCGAGTGTTACCGACTTCAAAATGAAAAAGAATATCTGACTGAGCAAATTTCCCTACCAACTTTCAACCATTGCTCTCACTCGTGTTATGCGTTAAATTAGAACCTTAAAATAGCCTGCTATCTATCTATCTATCTATCTGTCTATCTGTCTATTATCTATTATCTGCCTATGAGTGATGAACAGGCTGGAGTCCATTCCTAGACGATGCTTAAGGATGGCACAAACTCTCTGCTGTTCATTCTTCGGTTGCACTTATTTTTTTTTTTTTTTAAGATTTTATTTTTTCCTTTTTCTCCCCAACGCCCCCCGGTACATAGTTGTGTATTCTTCGTTGTGGGTTCTTCTAGTTGTGGCATGTGGGACGCTGCCTCAGCGTGGTCTGATGAGCAGTGCCATGTCCGCGCCCAGGATTCGAACCGACGAAACACTGGGCCGCCTGCAGCGGAGCGCGCGAACCTAACCACTCGGCCACGGGGCCAGCCCCCGGTTGCACTTATTTTTAAACTTTTTTTAATCACCAGCTCCCCACCCCACTCGGCTACACTATTCCCTAGTATCTAAGATGAGGCTTGCTTTACGGACAGTTTTCTCTCAAGAACAGGATTTACGGGGATGCAGAAAAATCGCTAATCAAGATCAATCACTTTCAAACGCAGCGTTTAAAACTATGAAAATCAAGGCAAAAACAATCCGTGAACAACAGATGATCCAAACGTTAAACAAAGGCACGATCCAGTCCGGCGTTTGCTTCCCCCTGCCTCACGCTACTCACTTTTCTCCCTGGCCTGGTCCCGACCGAACGTTTTCTATCTTAAAGGCGGCAGCCAAAGTTTCCTGCCTCGATTTATTGAAATCCTGAATGAAAACATTTACCTTGACTCCCAAGAGGCACAGCCCTCACCCCAACCCTAGAACCCAAGGGCAGGGGCGGGGGCCCTGGCAGCCTGGAGTCCCCCAGGTGGCTCTTCGTGAGGGAGGGGAGGAGAGGGACCTGTGAGAGAGCCGAAGGCCGCCCTGGACCAGCCCCACATGCTGCCTGGAAACGACGCGAAGCAGAGCAATCGGCTTACCGCAACCACAATTCGGGATACGGAGTGTGGCGGAAAACGCCCTCCAGCTCCCGCAGCTGCACCGGGGTGAACGTGGCGCGGCGGCCCGCCTGCCGCCTGGCTCCAGGCTGCGGACATTCGACGGCGGCCTGCGGGGGCTGCTCCTCCGGCCCCTGCTCTCCCGCTTCTCGGCCGCCATCGCCGCCGGCCTCGCGGTTCGCGGGAGCTCCAGCGCCAACGGCGCCGTCGTCCTTTTCTTCTCCTTCTCCTGCTCCGTCTCCTGCCTCTTTCCCTTGTGCGGCTGCTGCTGCTGCTTCCTGCTCAGGTTCGGCCTGTATCCCTTCTTCCTCTTCTCCTCCGTCTGCGCTAAGCGAGATCTCCACACGTTTCGCTTCTGCAAAGGAGGAATCCCAAAGAGAAAGATCAGGGCGTTGGAGCCCAGGCTGTGGGAAGAAGGGGGTGAGGGGCTGCATCGGAGGGGTGTCCTGTCCGCTCGCCTCTCCCAGGGCACGCTCCTTGCTTGGAGTTGGCCGAAGGGCCTGTCCCGACCACCACTCACCATGCCCTTCTTCCCGGTCCTCGTCGTCTCCCTCGTCGCTGCACTGCTGTGGAGGCTCCAGGTCCCGAGTGCTGTCCAAGAGGCCGTGTGCTTCTGGGGATTCTGCTCTGGGATCCATGGCTCAAGGCTGGAGTGGCGGCCCGCGACCCGGCTCCTTCAAGGCTCTTCGGGCGTCTAGTCAGGTCAGAGCGTCTAGGCAGGTTAGAGCAGCTAGTCGGACTAGAGCGTGTCTGAGTAGGCGCCGTGTGTGGGCTCACCGCCAGTTGCTGGCGATTGGGCGGGCTGAGGTGCCCATACGGCAGGGGCGTGGCCATCAAATGGGAGGGTGTGCCTGCAAGGAGGGCGCATGCGCCAGGACAGAACTTGGGACTCCGGGTTGCCCTTTGCCCGACTACGCCCGACCTCCTGGGTTGTCTTTCCAGAGGAAGACGGGGTTGCGTTGGATCGTTCCAGCCGATTTGTGCAGGGGAAGCGAGAGAACCCACGCTAGCTCCGTAGACGTTGGAGAGATGTTTGGAGAATCTCTCTTGGCCCAGCCCTCCATATCCAGCATCCAGTCGTAGGCAGGGAATAGTAAACTAGTATGATTGGCCAGGAGGTTGCCTGCTCTGAGTTTTTGCAATGAGGCTGAAGTCAGAGTTCGCCATACTCCCCGGGACTCCAGGAACAGGAGCTTGGCCTTGGGTCTGGTCCGACAGGGGGAAATTCCCCCTTCTACCCCTCTTGACTAAGAATAAAATTGACACGAGACCAGATTAACAGGAGAAAAGCCAATTTGATAGGTCCACATTGGAGATCATACGAACGACGCTCTCCAAGATGGGCAAAGCAGGCTGCTTGTTACATCTTTTGACACAGAGAAACAATCTGTGCGAAAATGTCAGGACCGAGAAGCTTAGGTTTGGGGTGTGTAATTAGAGAGGAATTTAAGCAGAGTTTAGGCTTGAGGTAGCAAATTAGTCGAAGTAACGGATTTTGTGTCTGCCGGCTTCCTGGCCCCGAATTCCCTAGCTCTGGCGATCAGGCTGTCTCCGTCGCCTGGTGGCGGGAGGGTACCTTCCACATGGGACATTTATTTCCTGCTTTCCGCGGAAACAGAAAGAGGAGGGGGAAATCCCCTTTTTGCATTGGCCGCTTCTCGAAGCTTCTTACCTTTAATTCAAAATCATCCATAGGCCCTTGTGGGATACTTTGGGGTGCCCTGCGCGGGGCCCCCACGCTAACCTGAGTTGCTTATTCTCCCCTAGTCTTAGTTTTCTTATCTGCCAAATGGAGACAACAGTAGAAGCTAACACACGCGGTTGCGAGAAGATTAATAGAGACGATTTAAAAAAACTTTATGAATGACCGTACCCTGTTGCCTCCCATTTCCTACTTCCATCTTTTTCCTGGTTATTTTTCATGAGGGCCCGTGAGAGGAGATCGAGATGCTTATCATCTGAGTGTGGGCACCGAGGAGAGGAGAGGATGTCTTCTTGTGAAAATGGCGTCCCTACCGTGTCTTTTTGGAGATGTACATGCTTCACGCAAGAAGCCCATGTCGGCTGCTGCGTATGCAGGGCAGCCGTGTGGGGAGGGCTGAGAAGGCCCAGCTGGCCATGGCGCCGTCGGTTCTCACCATCTGGGGAGGCGGATTGGCCCACCCAGGAGCAGGAGGCCCCACAGCTTGGAGGCAGGCAGCCCAGCCCCACCACTTACTTGCTCTGTGACCCCGGGGGAGTTAGCTGACCTCTCTGTGCCTCAGGTGCCGCATGTGTAAAATGGGGATCGTGACCGTACCTCCTCTGTGGTGTTGTGAAATTTGCATGAAGTAATACAAGGAAGGCCCATGGTGAAGGCTCAGACATCTTGAGCTGATGCCGGAGTTAAGGGGTCAAGACCGAGTGGGGTCAGTCCGCACGTGAGCCCACACTGTGACTGAAGGTGCCAGACATGGAGCGTAGCCCCTGCTCCCGAGTGGATATGAGAGTCTGTGGAGCGGCACATCGCTGTGCTTGCTCATGCTGGCGACATCATGTGGGAGCTCACCGCGCACCAGGGCCTGGCTAATCGGTGTGTTCCAGCCCTCCCCTGAGGAGGGGACCATCACCGTCTTTAGTTCCTGACCGAGGAAATGGAGGCTCAGAGACGTTCACTGACTCCCCCAAGGTTACACAGCTCGGCGGAAGTGCGCCAGGATTCAAACCTTGCAGACACTTTGTTCTCAGCACCCCGTGCTAGAAGCAGGTTTGGCTTTTGTGGGGAAGAGGGTGTCCTTTGCACCTCACAGGATGGGTCAGGCATTGGCAGATGCTGAGCTGTGCAGGGAATCCCGGTTACAAGAAGTGGCGTGAGCTGCCCGAGGAGGAACCAAGTGCAAGCTTGTCTCAGGGAACCCCCACACGGCCAGAGTGGCCAGCAGAGTGAGTGCATGTAACACGTGACTTTGAGGGGGAGCTGGAGGGAGAGCCTGAAGACAACACTGGTGTGGGTGAGAACTAGTTTGAAAGGTGGGTTGGGGCCAAAGTTATGGGAGGAGTTCGAATGCCTGGATTTGGGCGTGGGTCACTGTAAGTGTTTTGGTCAGCGGCAGTGACTTGGTGAGAGCAGTGTCTTAGGATGCGGGGTAGAGGGGGAGAGTCTAGGGTGCTACCTGGCTCCATTCATTGCAGTGACTGGGGTGGGGCACATTGTCTGGACGTGGGGCTCCTGATTTGGAGGCCATGGTTGGCCACCAGGGAGATCGTGAGTCTCTCGGAACTCGAATGTAAAATCTGTCCGTACTGTGACTTTAAGCGTGTGCGCGCCTTCCCTCAGATTCTCAAGGGGGTGCGTGATGGCACTGACCATCCCCCTGCCAAAATACCGAAGCCCAGGGGTTTGAGTAAAGAAGCCAGGTTGGGAGTTGGAACACCTGAAGTGGGATTCAGCGCACAGCATTGCTCTTCTTGTTTCCTCCTCATAGCGAGAACTTCGGCCCCATGTTCTTGTCACGTGACACTGAGCAAGCCTCATCGTCTCTCTGAGCTTCAGTGTCCCAACGATAAAATAGGGTGACTGTTATTACTACTACTAATGGCTAAAGATAACCGTCTCACGGAATACTTTTTCTTTCTCTGTTTTTCTGTCTCTCTCTGCCTGGCTCATTTCACTCAGCATAACGTCCTCGAGATTCGCCCATGTTGTTGCAAATGGCAGCATTTTCTCTTTTCTCACGGCTGAATAATATCCCATTGTAAATATCCATACGTACATATACATATGTATGTATACCCCACATCTTCTTTATCCATTCATCCATCAATGGACACGTGGGTTGTTTCCATGTCTTGCTATTCCCGGAATTCTTGTGAAGCTAGAATGAAGTATGGAAAGCTACATTGCTAATTTTACCAGTAAAAATATAGGGGGTGATTTTTATTATTGTCAATTGTGTTAAGGGTTTTGACTTTTTATTTATTTGTTTATTTATTTTTTAAAGATCGGCACCTGAGCTAACGTCTGTTGCCAATCTTTTTTTTTCTCTTTCTTCTCCCCACAGCTGCCCAGTACATAGTTGTATATTCTAATTGTAGGTCCTTCTGGTTGTGCTACGTAGGGCACTGCCTCAGCATGGCCTGATGAGCGGGGCCATGTCTGCACCCAGGACCAAACTGGTGAAACGCTGGGCCTCAGAAGCGGAGCAGGCAAACCTAACCACTCGGCCACGGCGCTGGCCTCTTCATTTTTAAAAATACCTGTTATCATGAAATCTTCAAACATACACAAAAGTAGAAAGAATATTGTAATGAACCCCCATAAAAATAATCATCCAGCTTCCATATTTATCAGGCTTTTGTCAAACTTGCTTCCTCTAGCCTCTTTCATTGTCCCTCCCACCCTCTCTTCCTTCTTTCTTCGCTTTCGTCCTCCTCCCCTCCCATTCATTCTCCTCTTGTTGTGATAATTTAAAAGAAACTCAAGACAATATGTCTTTTCATCTCTATATTTTTATGTGTGTGCACTTTCTAAAAAAGATAGGCTTTTCCAACACAACCACAGTGCCGTCCAGGCGCATGAATGGTACCGTATTCCCTTGGTATCATCACCCAGTCGTCTGTATTCAGAATTCCCCACTTGCCTGCAAGGTGACATTTTACAGTTTTTTTTTTTAGGATGTAAGTTTTGCTGTGTCTACACTGATAAGTAAGAGGAAAACTCGTGGGGGCCATTTGCCTTAGAAAGGGATGGACTAAATTAAAGAGAGCCCCTACATGTCTATGACTGCTGGTGGTTGTGTGTGGCAATGAAAGTGATTCAGTTCTTGTGTTCGCTGCCCTGTCATAGGACACCACAGGCTCTTCAGGTTGGTTCCAGGGAGCTGAATCATTTGCACACTAACTCCCTGCCCAGACCCTGGAACGTTGCATCCTTTTACCGTAACCAGGAGCTAAGGGTAAAATTCCATGATTTTTCTTTAAATTGTGCCTGAAATAGTAAGCCATTATGACCAGGAAGCTTGTACAACCACTGCCGTCCACGGCTCCACGTGGTGAAGCATGAACCAGACACCACCCCCAAGGATGTCTTCACCTCCGGCTGCCTGGGCTCAATCCTCAAAGGGCTGCTCCCTATGGTCGCATTCTCTGCAGGGCCCTTTCAGAGGGGAACCTTATATGACATCCTTCGTCCTTGCTATGATTGGGAAAGTTATTTGCTTTTAGTCTACTTGATGGTAAAAGAAATGCAATGTGCTAACTACCATTGACTTTCAGATGTTTGGGTCTAGCTCAGTCCCCATCTCCTGTAAGAAGCCTTCCCAGCCCATAGTACTCTCATCTTCTGAGCTCTTACTGCCTTTGAAATGGGACCAAGTCATTAGATTCCTATCACCCCTTACCTCGGTTGTGAGCCACTCTTAAATGTATGGGAGCACAGATGTATATGCATGTGTATGTACACGGGTCAATGCAGTATGTATGTGTGTGTGTGTGTGTGTATTTTGTGATTTCTCAATTAGATTGTAAACTCCCTGCACTTGACACGCTTCTCAGTTTTGCCCATGCAGAACCCCAAAGCAGTGCTGTGTACCTAGTAGGCATTCAGTAAGGACTTGTTGATTGGTTGGAGAATATAGATGAAGGGTGGATGGCCTTGACCAAGGCCAACAAGCCTGGGAACTTTTAATAGCTGAGTTTGTCGAGTGTTGGCTCCATCCTCTTATTTTCCTCCCAGGCCATCTGGCAGACCTGAGCAACAAACTCTGAGGTAGCAAAGACCTTCCCAGAAGACGTCTGGCATTTACTTGGTGGTCTTAGATACGGGTTGAGGAACAGATCAGCAAGGTGCTCCCCTCTCTGTCTGAAGAGAGGTCTGGCGAGC